TTTTTTTTAAAAAGAAGCAAGTAAGATTTCTGAGAGGTAATAGATGCACTTGGCACAATTCACACTGTCAATGCTCAATAGCCAATGAGCACTAGGAGCACATACATGAACAAATGAAGTTAGACAGCAAGGGAGAGCACACCCCAGAGGGACCAGAGTGCTGGACAAGAGGGACTTGAGAAGGCTTATGCAGGGTGAGTCTAAGAAGGATTTAGGAAGTGAAGGGGAATTCTGTTTTGAGCATTATCAGGAATTCAGTAATTGGATATTTTGGTAATCTGTACCTGAGAGGGGAGAAAAATAAAAGTGGATAAAGAAGGAGTGACTAGTTAACCTCTTCCCACCCATCCACCCACCCTCCGCTTCCTCCCTTCTGAGGTTTGACAGTTTGTTCGATGCTTCTACGTCTCTGGATCTATTTTTGTTCATCAGTTTATGTTGCTCATTATATTCCACATATGAGTGAAATCATGTGATACTTATCTTTCTCTGACTGCTTATTTTGCTTAGCATATGCATAACCATGGGCACAGACAATAGGTTGGTGAAGGCCTGGGGTGGGGGCAGGCTGGGAGAGGTCAATGGAGGAAAAAGGGGACATGTGTAATACTTTCAACAATAAAGATTAAGAAAATAAAAAATAAATAAAAAAGAAAATTAATGAAATTGAAAAGAAAAAAAGGAGTAACTACTAATTTTAGCTAAGGCTTTTGTTTGTTAAGAGTCTTTGTCCTTCTTTTGTTCCAGACATACTCACAGAGTGGCCTTTTCTTGGTCTTGCTCCATCTCCGTCATGGAGTGGCCTTGTCTAATTATTGCTTATATTCTGTAAAGGTTTTTCATGTTCCGTTGAGAACATTATGGTTGATGTGTCAGCCCTCATGGCCAGGGCCATTTCCTTGTCTTCTGTTTTTTCTTCTTTTTTTTTTCTTCCAGAGGCCAAAAATATTTCATGTGAAGCTCACTTCCCAAATATCAAATATTACTGCTATAATATTTTAAAACCAACAATGACAAGAACAACATTCAATTAATTTTCCCCAGGAGTCCTGTCTGATTCCTAGCCCCTTCCACTCTATCCAGGGTAAGAATGATCTGAAGCAGTTCCAAAGAAAGCAGTGTGGAGTCAGCCTCCTTCAACGACCCTGAGGTGGTGGTATCTAGAATTGGCAACCACCTGCTATCAAAACAAAGAGTCTGGAAATTAAGGCCTTCATTAAACGTCTGATACAGCTCATGAATGCAGGGATTCAAGGGCAGCAGCCACACTCACTGTATGTCTCAATTTTCTGTACTGTCTGGGTCAACAGTCAGTGGTGTACACAGCTCTGAGAGCCACCTCTTGCCCAGCCTTCCAAATACTGGTTCCACCAGTGTTTTCCGACTCCTTTTCACAGCTGTTCTTCGAGTCTGTTCAAACATTGGTTCCAAATCAAATGTATGAGCTTTTCCCCTGAACCCCATGAAGCCCATGGTGACTGCCAGCTGCGGGTCCGGTCCCGACGCCTCAGAGCCTGTCAGTTCGCTGGGCCCGGGGCACTCCATCACCGTTGCGCTGCAGAGCCAGCGGCAGCAGCAGCCCACACAGCAGCAGGAGCGGCACTGAGAACCTGGCTTCTTTGTTAAAATTCTTTACTGTTTAAAGTATTACATATGTCTCCTTTTTCCCCTATTGACTTCTTCCCGGCCACCGCTCCCCCCTCCCCCCCACACACATGGCCTCACCCCCCTACTGTCTGTGTCTATCGGTTATGCTCAAATGCACGCATACAAGTCCTTTGGTTGATCTCTTACCACTCCCCCTCTCCTGCCTTCCCTCTGAAGTTTGATTGTCTGTTCAATGCTTCTCTGACTTTGGATTTATTTTTGTTCATCAGTTTATGTTGTTTATTATATTCTACAAATGAGTGAGGTCATTATGCTTATTTCGCTTAGCATAATGCTCTCCAGGTCCATCCATGCTGTTGTGAATGGTAAGAGTTCTTTCTTTTTACAGCAGCATAGTATTCCATTCTGTAGATGTACCACCGTTTTTTTAATCCACTCATCTGCTGATGGGCACTTAGGCTGTTTCCAAATCTTAGCTATGGTAAATTGTGCTGCTATGAACATAGGAGTGCATATATCCTTTCTGTTTGGTGTTTCTTGTTTCTTGGGATATATTCCTAGAAGTGGGATTACTGGGTCAAATGGGAGTTCCATTTTTAACTTTTTGAGGAAACTCCATACTGTTTTCCACAGTGGCTGCACCAGTCTGCATTCCCACCAGCAGTGCACGAGGGTTCCCTTTTCTCCACATCCTTGCCAGCACTTGTCATTTGTCGATTTGGCCAGGGCCATTTTCTAAAAACTTCTCTATACCATCAATAATTCCCTCTCTTCATTTGCATGTTTATTTTGTTGGAAATAAGACCACTCTATCCAACCCTGGCCACTCTACCCAATATGCTGGCACATTGGCTGTACGCCTATGAACTTCACTGTGGTCCTCATATGCTGGAACGATGCTCAGCTGAATAGGAAAAATGCAGTTTGCTTTACATACAGGAGCTTTGACTTTAGATTTCCTTCCCAGGCTAGTGGAGACTGATTGCTCACCTGATGATTTCTCCACAAAGAGAGTATAGAGCTGTGGCCTGTGGGATTGGTACGTGTTCCCTTGAGCATCTGTGGCCCTATGCACTGAGACAGGAACAAAGAAAACAATATTTATTAGGTAATTTCCTGCTAAAGGAGAGAGGAGCTTCTCAGAGGAGGAAGTTTTCATGCTGCAAACTTTAGGAGATTTCTTACTGACTCTGTGTGTGTGTGTGTGTGTGTGTGTGTGTGTGTGCGCGCGTGCGCGCGCGAGTGCTCGCTTGGGTGGTGAGGGCATTCTTATAGTGTCTGTCACACACACGTTGAAATAATCCTTGTGAATTCTCATCACTATTAACATTTATAGAAGATTAATTAGTGTCAGGTACTATGATTTCTATTCATTATTTTATCTATTACTAAAAAACAAAATTTAAAATCTCACAAGCTCTGTATTATTATGAGAAACGAAGTTTGAAAGCTTACCACCCCCCCCCTCCTGCTTTCCCTCTGAAGTTTGATGTAACACTTCAATTTTCTATTAACAGTCACTTACAAAGGGACACTGCTGGTGAGTGGCAGGGTTGGGACGTAAATCACATTCTAAAAGCTTCTAAATCCCGTGCTCTTAATGGCACATGCAATTAAAGCAACATTCTGCGTATTCAGATACTTATAGCTATTAGGCTCCATCTAATATCACAGAATCAATATCTCCAGGGCTGAGATATAGTTATTGGCACTTTAAAAAAACTTTCCATGGTCATTCAAATGCTGCTGTTTAACAATTGGTATTTAGAGACCAGTCATATAGGCTACATATCCACATAACTTGGAGTTGGGAAATTGCTTATATTGTTGTTTTTTTGTCATCATGTATTCATCCATTCAATATTAATAGAATACCTACTGTGTCTAAGACTCTACACCAGATGTTAAAAGGTCATAGAAAACAATTTAGTTCAAGAGCTTTATAGATAATAGTGAAGGTCTTTTATGTAAATAAATAATTTAGATAGGAAGTGATAAAAAGAATGTTTATTAATGCAAATGAAGTGCTGTGGGTCTTCAGTGGAAGAAGAAATTATTTCCAGGGGTAGGACATTAGTGGGAAACAAATGTTGAGGTGGAAAAACTTCAGGGAGAGAGTGATGTCTGAAGTTCTGCTAAGATTTGGGAATATGAAGGGTATTTTTCACATGGTGTATGTACTGATTAGTTGTCTATGGCTTTCTAACTTTGAAGAAGTAAGCTGCCATGCACAAGGGGTGATGAAGAGGGCCATGTGGCAAAGAATTGTGGATTGCCTCTAAGTGATGGGAGCAGCCCCTGCTGAGAGCCAGCAGGGGGGCAGGACTCTCAGTCCTACCACTGCAAGGAGATGAATTCTGCTAATAACATGAGGGAGGCTGGAAGCAGGTCCACCCCAGTTGGGCCTTCAGATGAGTTCCCATCCCAATTGACACCTTGATTGTAGCATCTCAGAGGATGCAGATTCCTGCCCCATAAAACTGTAAGATAATGTGTGTGTGTGTGTGTGTGTGTGTGTGTGTGTGTGTGTGTGTGTATGTTTTAAAGCCCCTACATTTTTGGAAATTTGTGATGCAACAATAGATACAGACTGTAGACTGGTAACAATACAGATTTATTTTCTTATTGAGGACTATTCACTTTTTTTGGTCTTGTCTTACTAAATAATACCATAATAAACATCTTAAATATATGTCCTTATGGACTAGAATTCTATTATACAGATCAATTTGCAAGGCTGGAATTCTGAGTTAAAGATTATTTTTAAGCGGAGGCGGGAGAGGCTTCTGCCACTGCCACTGTGCTCGCCAGCCATGAGCCTGGCTTATTGCGAGAAGGACGTCTGACTGCTGGTTTAGGGATCAGGCCTGAGCCGGCAGTCAGACATCTCTCAGAGGCCCCAGACTGCGAGAGGGTGCAGGCCGAGCTGAGGGACCCCTCCCCCCCAGTACATGAATTTTCATGCCCCAGGCCTCTAGTTATATATAATTGTATTACTAATTCACAAAATTAGCTTTTGTTATGCACACCTATACTTTGTGCATATGTTTCACTTAATAAATGAAAAGAATAATAAAAAAGATTATTTTTTAAAAAGATATTGCCAGATTCCTTCTAATGTGAAGTAACACTTCAATTTTCTATTAACAGTATGTGAGAGCATAATTTTCCTTACATCACAGCATTTAATAGGCGTTATCATTCTTTGGCAGTTTTTGCCAGACATGTTGATAGAAAGCGGTTATCTCATCATGACTTTAATTTGCAGCTCAATCTTAGTAAAAATGAGCAACTTTTCCATGTTGCTTGACTTTTTTGTTTTGATTCCTTAAAAATTAGCACTACTGGTCTTGTTGTTTCCAAGCACAGAAAATTAGAAATTGAGGATCAAACTAGAGGCACTTCTTCCCAATCCCTTTCAGAGCTTCCTTCACATCTTGGTTTCTCAGGCTGTAGATGAGCGGGTTTAACATGGGGATCACAATGCCGTAAAACACAGAAGCCATTTTTTCTTGTTCTCGAGACTCCTGGGACCCATGGTGCAGATACATGTAAGAGAGGGTCCCATAGAAAATGGTGACTGCTGTCAGGTGGGAGGCACAGGTGGAGAAGGCTTTTCTTCTCCCTGCAGCAGAAGATATCTTCAGGATGGCAGCCAGGATATATATGTATGAAAAGATGACGACCGACACCGTGAACATCAAGTTAAACCCCACAAAGACGGTCAGGAACATGATGTTTAAATCAATGTTGGAGCATGAGAGAGCAAGAATTGGGGGTTCATCACAGAAAAAGTGGTTAATTTTATTGGATTTGCAAAAGTTCAGTGAGAAAGTAAGACTCGTATTTATGGAGGCATTTAGGAAACCCATGAGGTATGAGCCAACTAACAGTTGAATGCAGACTCTCTGGGTCATGACTACTGGATAGTGGAGTGGGTTACAGATGGCCACATAACGGTCCACTGCCATTGCAGCAAGGATATAGCAGTCGCTTGTTGCAAAAGTACCATAGACTAGTAATTGCACCACACACCCTATGAATGAGATGGATTGTTCTGTTTCTAAAAAGTTTTGCAACATCTTGGGAGTGATAGCGGAAGTGTAGCAGAGATCAACAAAGGCCAAGTGTTGGAGGAAAAAGTACATGGGGGTGTGAAGGCAGGAATTAATCTTGATGAGTAGGATCATCCCAGTATTACCCACGAGGGTGGTCACATAAATCACAAGAAATACTATGAAGAGGATATGCCAAGACGTGTGCTGCCCAGCAAATCCCAGAAGAATGAATTCAGTCACCTGAGTGCCGTTGTTTTGTTCCATGATTAACAAAGACTAGGTATCACCTGAAAAGATATATAGAAAGAAACGCAGAGAAAGCTAAGATCATTGTGATCCTTGAACTAATTCTATAATTGCAAATGGTATAATAATTTGGCCTCATAGTGGGGTCAGAGAATATTTTCTATGACGTAATTGACTTACATTTTAAAGGCTAAACTTTGATACCTGACTGAGATAATTTCATCTGCAGTTGGGAGAAATTTCCATGGACCAATAGCTGTATTCCCAGGGTGAAAATTGATTGGCATTTCATAAATATGTCAATTCTAGAACATACAAAACATACTTTTATTTAATTATATTTTCTTTTATGCCCTCACTATTTTTTTCAATGTGCCTAAATACTAATCATTGCATCTGAGATCTTGATACAGCTGTTGAGTTCCAACTTATTTCTGTAGTCTGATTTTACCTTTTTCTTCTTCTTAGTGACTCTTTTCTGCAATCAAGGGTTCATGGACACATGGAATCCTTTATGGATGTGTTATCAAAGTTTTTATGGTAAAGGATCATTTTCTTTTTAACACTTTCTGTCTGTTTTGGACCAATATTTTGTAAAAAGCTACAAAAAGGTCTCAGCATTATTAAAAATCCTATAATAGTTTTAAATGTGCAACCTCGTTTTCTATACTTATTTCATCATAGAGTGGAAACAGAGAGTCCTAGGACTGGTGCTGGTTCATGGACCACACATTGAGTAACATGCTGTATGATGTCCATCCATTATAATTTACCTATGTGCTTTCCTAGTGATGGACAACAGATTGCCTACAACTTGTCTGCACTGCAAATACCTCAGTGTGAAAATTTTTCTATAGTATAATCCTAGAAACAAAATTTTTGGGTCTGAGGGTATGCACACATTTAACTTAACGAAGTTTTCTTAGACCATTTTCCATAATGTATGCACCAAGTATGAACTCCTACTAATCATACATGGGGGTGAGGAGGTTCCTATCTCCTAAATTCCTGTGAACATTTTCTTAAAATAATGTCTCATTTTTATAAGTTTTTCTCCCTTAATTACAAGTGGACTTGACCATTATCTAGTATTCTTCTTAGAATATTGGGATTCTATTTTTTGTCAATTGCCTGTTCACATTTTTGGTCAATGTTTCTGTAAGTTGCCTCTTATTTTATTATTATATATTTTAAATTCTCACCTGATGATATTTTTCCATTGATTTTTAGAGAGAGAGTGGAAGAGCAAGAGGGAAAGACAGAGAAATATAGATGTGAAAGAAACACATTGATTGGTTGCCTCCTGCAGGAGCCCTAACCAGGGCTGGGGCCAGGGAGGAGCCTAGCAACAGAGGTATGTGCCCTTGACCGAAATTGAACCTGGGACCCTTTGGTCCACAGGCTGACGCTATATTCACTGAGCCAAACTGGGCAGGACTAAGTTTCTTTTTAGATGTTCTTTGTCCCAGATTTTAATCTTTATTCCAGATTTGAATTTCTTGTTACCTGTTAACGTGAGAAAGAGTTTCTTACAGTCTATCATCTGTTAATTTTGTCTATAATATGCTTTATAGAGCTGAAATCCTTAAATTTGAGCTAATAATTCATCATTTTTACTTTATTATAGATTTTTTTGAAAAAAAAATGGAATGAAGTTCATTCCATTCCCTTGTTTATTACCCCAGGAGACTAAAAAGCAATAATAAAAATTTTCCTTTCTATACTGGATTGCAGACACATTGTAATTCTTGCACTGTGAACACTTCATATCATGTACATAATTTGAAAAATATTACTATGTTTCTCAATATTTACTTTTTTTTAAAAAAAGAAAGCAGGCTAACAGCACAGAGAGAGTAGTCTGTGTGTGTGTGTGTGTGTGTGTGTGTGTGTGTGTGTGTGTCTATGTTTGTGACTCTGTGTGCAAAATATTTAAATATTTTAAAAACCATTAAGTGATTTGACTTGTTATTTTAAAGCTTACTCACACAATACTTGGCTCAACTGTGCTATAGGAAAATTTTACCAAACATTTATGGAACAACTAATTCTAATATACAATCTTTTCCCATAACTGGCAAAAGAGAACATTCCCAATTCATTTTGTGAGGCTAATGCAATCTTGACAACAAAGTAAAATTTGAGAAAAGAAAATGGAAACCAATGTCACTTGTGAATATAGATGCAAATAGCTTAAAAATACACATCCACAACCAAATCCATCCCGGTATGAAAGACATGATTGCTGGGCCTCAAAGGAGTTTCCAGTGAACAGCTATTCACCTCTTCCTCAGGATTTGAACAAGTCGAGGAATAAAGATAGTGTCTATATGGAGACCATACTATCACGTTCAGCCACTTGGGGAAAGATTTACTTAGTCAAGTTCCTTGCTGTCAGAGAACAATATAACTAGACAGGCTTATTCACCTAGTTTTGGTGGCAGTGCCTGGGGGAGACCTCTTGCACATTTTGGGGAAGTTCCTCTGGAATGCAGAGTAACATTAGCAGGCTGGCTAATCCCAAGAGGGAAAGGGCAGAGCAGAGCATGCCAGGTTGTTCTCCGGTTTGCCAGTCTGCCATGTTACTCCACCTTGCTGGGAACTGAGGGAATAAAATGGGTAGAGGGTGCCTCAAATGACACAAATTTAGGTCCCTTTGCAAGAAAGAATCATCAGAAGCAGGAGAAAAGGTATTTTCCATCTGCAATCAAGACCAAGTTGTCTACACTTTATGTTTCTTTCCAATTTGATTTATAAATTCAAGGTCATTTCAATCAAATGCTTGAAAGAATTTTATGTGCACCTTCACAAACCTACAAAGTGTATATGGAGGAGAAAAGAGCTAAAATAATTGAGAGAATTTTAAAGGAAAACAAGGTGAGAACTTGTCCTACCAGATATCGGAAGTTACCATAAAGAAGTAATGCTGATACTATGTGGTATTAGTGTGAGGGAAGACACATTGATCAATACAACCGAGAAAAAGAAATTATAAAAAGACCCACAAATCTATAGAAGCTTAATGTCTGAACACAGTAAATGCACATCAGTGAATTATGGTCCATTAAGCTGTGGTGCTATAAATGCCTAAACATATGAAATTATAATATTGTACTCCTACTTTACATTTTACAAAAACCAATTCTAAATGGATTAAACATTTAAATTGTAAGACTTTGAGAGTAAAACAGAAGACTATATGTGACTTAGATAGGCAAAAATGTTTAAACAAAACATGAATACACAAAACATAAAACACTGAAAATTCAACTATACCTAAATTTAAAACACAAACATTATATTAAAAAATACTGGATGTTGACTGGAAATTTACTCTGGTAAATTTATTTGCAGCACATATAAATGTCAATGAATCAGTAGCCAGTATATAGAAATAATTTCTATAAGTTACCCCAAGAGAAAAATTCATAAAAGATAGGATCAGGATAATTATAGAAGAGAAAACCTAAATAGTCAATAGATATGTGGAAATGTACACAACACACTAGCAATCAGGTAATTGTATATTAATACTGTATTGAAATATAATTTTTTACTCAGTATAAAATGTAAAGTTTTGGTGAGATTGTAGGGTCACATATTAGCAGTCATGTTGGGATCAAATTTGGGATAATTAGTAAAATTAACTATATGCCTCCAGAATTTCCATTATAGGTCCATATACTAGAAAAAATTTCACCATGTAAACAATGACACATACATATAAGTATATATATGACTATAGATATACACACACAAGAATGTTCTTAGCAGCATTATTCATCATAGAAAAATATCAACAAATCACTGAAAAGTCAGTCAATTGGTGTTGTAAGATATGTGAATAAATATCACAAATGGAATGCTAAGTAATAAAAATCAAGTTGCATAAGTGAGATGAGTGGTGGTTACATTATTTTAAGTGTGTTTTTATACACCTGAAATGTTGTGTAATAACAGAAATTCCTCACCAAGAAAAAAACCACATCATCAGTACATCAGTCAAGGGCTCCTTTATTCTGATGTCAGAAATGCCAGGCGGAGCAGTAGCTCCATGGACACAATGGTCAGTTTTAGAGAGGGATGTGCCTTCAGTGATGGGAAACACAGCAAATTAAACCTGTGGTTGATGTGTATAATCTGGTTCTTTCAAATATCTTGAGAAATGAACAAGAAATACCTTGTGATAACTTTGTGGTGATGAAACAAGACACATTCTGTTTAATGCAACATTTGGTGAGGCTAAGGGCCGACACATTTGTGCAGTTTCCTCTTCAGGACAATTTGCAAATTAAAATAGATTACATTAAGTCTTTTCAAGGAGGCTTCCATCCAGTAGGTAAAAGCACTTGTCAGAGGAAGCTAGAATTGGTCATGGGTTCACTTAAACTAGGACCTGGATAGGGTAATGACATTTACCATATCAATTTAATAATTTTGAATTGAAATAAAATGACATATTGGGATTCCTTTTTCAAGAGCTATGGAAAACCAGTACAAGGGACACCACACACACACACACACCCACACACACACACACACACACACACACACACACAGAAGCATGCTTGCCAAGTGCCCAATTATGTTGAACATGCTTAACTTAGCTTGAACCCGGTGCTTCTGAAGCTTTATTTATATTAAGCATTGTGCATTGGGAAGGACACAGACTGACCTGAACTTGAATTACGGTCCCATCACTTCATAGAAACAAAGGATGTACTTCCTTTTGGCCTCAGTTCCATCCTCTATAAAATGGGATCACAGAATCACTTAGAAGGTAATGACTGTCATTGTAACACTATTTGCAATAGCAGGACTTTGTAAATAGAGTTAAATAAATCAGAGTAGGTTCTTATTATGGATCAATACATACTCCAAAAAGAATGAGATATATACTTGTATGGAAAGGAGCACATGTCATATTGTCAAATGAGCAAAGTAAGTTGCAGAATGATGCATAAAATGTGGACCCTTTTAAAAATAAAACTTTCACTCCCATACTCTCTTTTTCTCAT